GTGAAGAAACTGTTTGCAACTGATGGCTTCTGAGAAAGGGAAAAATCAGTTTACTTCACTGGAGTGGTTCTGAGTATATCAACATATCCCAGGGCAGGCCACATACTCAAGAACAGAGGGCCAACACAAACTGAACCATAGCACCCCCATTAAAAAAGATTGATTTATTTTAATATGCATTGATGTCTTGCCTGTGTGTCTCTGTGGGGTGCCAGATCCTCTGGATCTGAAGTTACAGACATTTATGAGCTGCAATGTGGGTGTTGAGAATTGAACTCGGGTCCTCTGGAAGAGCAGCAAGTTTTCTTTACTGCTGAGCCATCTCTCCCAGCCCCTCCCCCCATTTTTTTTTCATTTATGTGTGTGCTGTGCTTTGTTGTTGTTGTTGTTGTGTTAGTTTCAACTTAAAAAAAAAAAGAATATGAAAGGGGGTATGTAGGGACAGAGGATCTGGAAGGAGTTGTGGAAGGGAAAAGGAGTATAAGCAAGGAAGGGCAAAAGAGTATGAGCAAAACATTGTATGAAAACATTTTTAAAATAAATTTAAAAAACTCAATATAGGTTCTCTGGAAATAACTAATTAATTATTCTTTACACCAGACATTGGTGGGGCACACCTTTAGTCCCAGGACTTGGGAGGCAGAAACAAGCAGATCTCTGTGAGTTCGGGGCTAGCCGGGTCTACAGAGTGAGTCCAGGGCAGCCAGGGCTACACAGAGAAACCGTGTCTTGAAAAACAAACAAACAAACAAACAAACAAACAAACAAACACCTTTTTCCCACAATGGCAATGGCAGTGCATTACTACGGTTTGGATGTGGTTTGAGTGTCCTCCAAGCTTTCCTGTGCTGACATTTAGTCCCCACGTTAGGCATTACGAGTGTGGAAACTTGGCTGATTACGTTACTTTGAAGTGGGGCTTTGGGGAGGAGACTATCATGAAAGTCACTAGCCTGGGGTCCCCATGACTGAATCCTGGTGGTTAAATAAAGAGACCAGAAGAGATGCCCACGGACTCCTGTGTTCTATCTCTGCCATATCAGAGAAGGCATTGGATTCCCTGGGCTGTGGATGCTGGAACTCAGGTCCATTGAGAGGACAGCCAGTGCTTTTAAAGACTCTTCAGACCCAGAATCACATCTTCTTCTCTAAAGCCATCATTTCTCAATCCATTCACAGGGGTTGCATATCAGGTACCCTGTGTATCAGATATTTACATTACAATTCATAACAGCAGCAAATTTACAGTTATGAAGGAGCAACTAAATAATTTTATGGTTGGGGATCACCACAGCGTGAGGAACTGTATTAAAGGGTTACAGCATTAGAAGGGTTGAGAACCACTGCATTAGGATGATGTGCAGGCATTTCGTAGTGTTTAACTCACTGCAGCTGCCATGTGCCAGGTACAGTTTCCTGACTCTGTTCTTATGGAACTGGCATTCTAGATCTTTCTTCTCTTTGAACCAGGCATGATTTATTTAACAGTGGCCCGGTGCTGACATTTACGTCACTTGATTCCAGTTTTTGGTCCCTCAGTAGTGCTTCTGTGAGGATTGTTGCTAATGTTCTTTAACATGGACAGCCCTTGATATTCTTTTTATTTATTTACGCAATTTTCTAAGGAGTTAGAATTACAAAAAAAGTGAATATATGCCAATGAGTGTGTTGGGATGTCCATTTCAGTCTGTCCAAGCATCTTCAATCAGTCTGTTGAAACTTACTGGGTTTTTTTTTTACATGTTTTTGTTTTGTTTTGTTTTGTTTTGTTTTGTTTTTTACATGTGTCTCTACATGCATGTGAGTTTATGTGCATTGAGTGCACGTACATGCCTCTGGAGGCCAGAGGGCATCAGACCCCCTGCAACTGGAGTTACAGACAGGGGTGAGCATCTTGACATAGGTCCTGAGAATGGGACCTGAGTCTTTGAAGGAGCAGAAAGGCTTTTACCCACTGAGCCACCTCCAGGTCACTGACCGTGTTGCTAATATCACTACAGCAGAAAACAAACAGGCTAATACGGTAGAGGAAGCCATTCAGTTTCCTACCTGCTTTTAGATGTGGGCTGAGTAACTTAATGGTTAACTGGTTCACTATTCTCTAGAGATAAAACAAAACAAAACAGTAGAACCCTGGGTTTGCATATTACCAGTCCTGTGTTTTGGGGGCATGTTTCTCAAACTTTTATTCCTGGGTGTCCTCCTCTCCAAGGAGTCACACTGTGCATCTGGTGACTAGCTAGTCCAGCGCTGGCTCACCAGCTTCCAAGCTGAGAGCCAGTCATCCCCAGGAGAAGAGAGACAGCACCGGCTAATTTCGCTAATACAGCCACCAATTGTGTTAGGTGCTGTGACGAGGCGAACATGGATGTTGGGGGATGAACAGCAGGGAGATACGATGGATTCAGAACCAGGATGAGAATGAGCTGTGATGGGAGATGTGGGAGTGGGTGCTTGTCCAGGCAGGAGATACCCGGAGGAGGGCAGGGCAGGTGCCAGGCATTACTGTAATTCTGGGTTCATTTTCAAAGGTGCCTCGAGACAGTGTTGGTCTCATTACAAATGGGCAGAAGACACCAGACTCTAGTGACGAGAGTCCTGCTAATGCCCGCTAGTTTCCATACCACCTTTACAAGCTAGATGTTTAGAACAGAAAATTGCTCACAGCCACACTTGCCTGTAAGGCCAAATGCCTACAAGCTTTAGAATAAACAAGATGTAAAATGTCGAGATGGGTTTTGTTGAGAAAAAAGATGATAGAAGCAACAGACAGAAAGATAAAACCCAGATGGTTGTTCTCTGTCAATGAGGAAAGGGAGGAAATGAGAAAAGGGAGGAAAGGGCTTGCTTGCATTCAGGTTTTAAAACCTTTTCGCTCAGGCAGCACACCCAGCCTTGCAAAGCCGTAAACTGCCATGCTCTCTCTGCCCTGAGTCTCCAGTGCTCTTATTATGAAGTGAGGATCATTGTTTCTCACAATTATGAAGAGCGGATGCCATCATATGCCATGTCAACATAAAAACAATTCTCACCTCAAAGAGGAAAAGACAGCTTATTCTGGAGCCAAATAGGAGTGACGGTAGTGTGGGGACTGTCTTCTGATGCCGGGAAAGGAATAGGGTCTTGGGAGGTGGAAGTTAAGGAGATTCTGATGAGCAGAGGATGGATGAGACACTGTATTCATGAGCACACAGGTGTGTAGGCAAGCAAGCAGCCAGCTGTCAACAGGCTTCCAGTCATTCACTGATGTCCATAGGCCACAGGCAGACTGGCATGCAGGCTGCACAGAGATAGGCACACAGGCCTACAGACAGACACAGAGGCCAACAGATAGACATGCAGACATACAGAAGTAGGCACACAAGCTTACAGATAGACACACAGGCCACAGACCTACACACACACACACACAGGCCTGCAGAAAGATAGGCAGGCCACCCACAAGTAGGCACACAGGGTTATAGACAGACACACAGGTCTATAGGCAGACACACAGGCCACACAGAAGTAGGCACACAGGCTTATAGACTGACATGCAGGCCTACAGACAGACACACAGGCCACACAGAGGGAGGTATACAGGCCACACACAAGTAGGCACACAGCCGACCTACAGACACACACACACACAGGATTACAGACAGACAGGCAGGATGACAGACAGAAAGACAGACAGGATGACTGGTGAAGGCTCAGGCCTCTGACATCAAGGCTGTATTTATACGGAGGCCATACAAAAGTGGCACTCTGCCACAAGTAGTTGTATAAAGGTTGACATCACTGTTTATTTTGTGTTCCCAGGACATCCATTTTGTGTCAGCCATTTTGTGCTGACTCAGCATGCTCCTTGCACCATGTCCAGCCCTAGCCATTGTGGCCCACAGCAGCACCATGTTGTCCAAACATAAGCTGGCCCTTACCTCCTTTTGTTTACAACATATATCTGGGAACACAGAGTTAGGTCATGCTCCAATGTGGCAGAGGTTTAAAGGAAAAAAAAATCAAGAGGCATTTAAAACTCATCAGTGGAAATATAAGGTATGCATTTACAGCAAGGTGAGGACCCCATTTCATAGGCCTCAGACACTACCTGGTGACATTCTCAGCTTTTGGGTTGGTGGAAGATAGAGGTCCACTAAACTAACACATCAAAAGGTTTCACCTGACAGGACAAGGATGCAAAAGTGGGAATGGAATGGCGAATAAGGGGGCGAATGAGAGCCCAAGACAAAATGTAATTAGGCTCCAGACCTGCAACATTCCAACCTTCCCACAGTCACCGAAGTTTTGATCAGTTAATCAGCCTTTCAGAAGGTTCAGTGGGGTTTCTTTCCAGAACTTTTTTTGTTTTTGTTTTTGATTTTTTTTTTTTCACAGATACTTTCCTACTTCACTGCCTTTGGAAATCTCTGATGATTTTCCATTGCTGTTTTTTTTTTCTTTTTATTAGTAGCTTAAATGACATTTCCTTATAAAGGCTGTCATGACTATCCTTAATCACTAACTGGCCCCTTCCTTTGTCAGTTTATTATTTGACCTTATTTTCTATCTTTTTCAACTAACCTTTCCCATGGATTCATACATTTACATAAAAAGATTTACCTCCAAAAAAAAAAAAAAAATTTACCTCCGTTTTATTTGAATGTAAATTTTAAGAAGGCAGAGGTGTTTATTTGGGTGTGGTGTGTATAGATTTGAATGCTTTCTTCAGGTTGAGTTGGTTCAGCAGAAAAGAATGCTTGTTGCTAAGCCTGACGTCTTGAGTTCGATCCCTGAAACCCATTGGATGGAAGGCAAGACCCAACTCCTCCAAGTCGTTCTCTGACTTGCCCTCACACACACCCTCCACACGTACTAATAAAATGCAATAAAACCCCACTATATTTTTAAAATTTCTACCTTTGTATTATGTATATAGCAGCCATTTAAAGCAGGTGTGCTGGATGAAGGAGAAGCGCTTGCTTGGTGCAAAGGAAGCAAAAACCAGGGACCGCAGAGTGGAGGGGCGTGGCCACCCGGAACCTAAGAGCCCCAGTCCCGGAAGTTTCCCGTCAACGGCGGATACTTCTAGCAGACGGAGGGTCCGTCATCGGCTGGCGGCCCCTGGGTGACGTGTAGGCCCGGGATCGTCGACCATGGACGAACACTGCCTGGAGGAGTTCCGCCGGCGCTGGCAGGAGGAGTTGGCGCAGCAGGCGCTGAGGCGGCGACGGAGGCTCGAGGCCGGGGAGCGGCGCCCGCGGAGACCGGAGGCCGGGGCGCGCGGCGAGCCGGCCTCGGGGTACCTGGCGCTGGCGCAGGGTCTGCTGGAGGGCGCGGGCCGACCCCCGGCGTCCAGGCCCGGCCGGGCCGACAGGAGGGATGCGTCCAGCCGCTCCCGCTCACCCCCGGACCGCGACGCCGTGGAGCCCGAGCCGCTGGTGGACCAGCTCATCCGCGACTTGGTAAGTGGCCGGGGCAAGGTGACTTTCCCTTTAGCCCACCAGGGACCCTGCACACCCAGGGAGTCCCTGGAAGCGGTGGTTGTGCGCTCTTGAGCTGTGCCTGCAAGCATTTTGGAATGTTGACAGTAAGTGTATGCGCAGCAATGCTCAAGACAGGACACCGCCCGCCGCCGCCCTCCCCCTCAAAGAGAGAATCTACCCATAAAGGGCTACGTGTGAGTTTGAGAAATCCTGCTTTAGAAACGAAAAGTTTACTTTGGAGAGGAGGGTCGAGAAAAAGCACAGGGTGGAATTAATGTTCACCTTTCTCTGTATCATTTGATTTTCCTAACTTAACGTGTTACTTAAATTAAAAAAAAATCAGAAGAAATGAAAAACTACGACTAATAATCAGTATTATTTAGGAGGTCCTTAGCGTATGGAGGGCATGAGTCCCTCGGAGAATCAGAAAGCTCTTTCTCCAGCCTCCTTTACCAAGTCGGGAGAACCAAATCAAGACCCCTGGCACGGATCCATGGCATGCAAGTTAAGAGTTAGGCCAGAACAGAAGGCTTTAATGGCTTAACTTAAACCAGGTTCAAAGAAAATTTCCGCAAGAGTTGGGCAGGGAATACTTTTCTGTAAGTGAAAATTGTTTAGAGAAATAATGCGACAGACCTGGAGAAATGTTTAAGAGCACACCTGCTCTTCCGGAATTGGGTTCCTAGTACCCATGCCAGGTGGCTCACGACCTCCAATTTCAGGAGATTTAATGTCTCTGGCTTCCATGGGCACCTGTATACATAGTGCCCAACAACACACACACACACACACACACACACACACACACACACACAAACACTTAATTTTTTAAAAAATGGATAACTTTATGCAAAGGACAGTTTTATTTAAATAATAAATATTTTGAGCTTTTATTTTGAGTTTCAGGTCCATCTCCCCTTTAAACCAAGTGTCTTGTGCTCTGATTTGATTCTAAAATGGCCATAATATGAGGTAGACACTAACTCCTTCGACGAATAAAGGGACTCAAAGACAAAATTTTCTGCAGTGTGCCCAGGATTACCCAGCTGAAAAATTCTGGGGATTGAATTTGGATTCCTGCATTTTAACTTAACCAGGTGAAGCTTGCGTTGCCCTCCTGGGAGCCTTGGTAATGTGTAGGTTCCTGAGTCCCCTCAGATCTGCTAAATCAGCAGCCCAGAGAAGTGGCTCCACATTTGATGTTTAAGAATCTAGTGTGGGGGGAAGTGAGGAGTGAGGGGGTGTGTCTGGGTATGGGTGTTCATATTCTCAGCTTTGTAGCCTCTGTTGTTAGCCCTGTGCTGGCTAGTTTTATGTCAATGGGACACAAGCTCGAGTTACTGGAGAGGAGGGAGCCTCAGTTGAGAAAATGCCTCCATTGGATTGAGCTGTAGGCAAACCTGCAGGGCATTTATTGTGGGTGGATACACCTGTAGGCTGATAGTCCTGAGTTCTACAAGAAAGGAGGCTGAGAAAGAGCCACTGGAGAGCAAGCCAGTAAGGAACACCCCTTAATGGCCTCTGCATCAGCTCCTGTCCCCCAGGCTCCTGTTCTGATGTTCTGCAGTGATGGACTGTGATATAGAAATGTTAGACAAACCCTTTTCATCCCCAAATTGCTTTGGGTCATGGTATTTATCACAGCAATAGCTTCACTGGGTCAGATCCTAAATCCTATACACAAGACTTTCCACTCAGACAGCATCCTCCAGACAGAAATAAAGTGTCCTAAAGTGGAAGGGATCTATGTAGGGGGAAGATCCAGGGCATACCAGAATCTTAAGGTTTAATATGGAGTCGGCAAAAGCCTTTTCTGTGTCCCATCACTAGATTGAATGATAGTGGCTCCTCTGCCCTTTCGGAACACCGCATTAGGTACTGTTAAGGTTTCTTTTGAGCAACAGCCAGTTCACTGGAGTTACAAGAGGTTGAGCAACCTGATGTGTGTTAGGAATTGAACTTAGGTCCTTGGAAGAGCCGACTCTGCTCTTAACCATCTGGGTGTTGCTGTGTAGCTTAGATTGGCATCAGACTCTTTGTCTTTCGCTGTGTGTGTAGAGAGAGATCCTGAAGATATTTATCTGTATGCTCAGAGGACAGTACCAAATGTTGACCCTCAGGCACCTCCACATTTTATTGCAGACCTTGTTGGCCTGGAGCTTTGCCATATAGCCCAAGGTAGCTGGCCCTTGAACTTTCAGAGATCTGTTTCTTCCCTCTTCTTACTGTCTCTGGGATCAGAGGCATAAGTCACTGTGCTTGGCTCTTTACATGGATCCCCAGGGATCTAAACTGAGGTCCTTACTCTTGTAAGGGAAGTGCTTTACTGAGCCCTCCCCCCATTCCTGGCCTTGAACTTTTGACACCTCCACCTCTTGAGTGTTGTAATCATAGCATGAGTTTGGTGCTTGCTGTCCAGTGGTTCATAGACAGTAACTTCATTGTTCCCAACAATCCTCTCCCATGGCAGTTTTCAGCCTGTCCTGATAAATGACCAGGAGGAAGGTAGCTTGGGTGTTTTGTTTTGTTTTGTTTTGTTTTTGAGACAGGGTTTCTCTGTGTAGCCCTGGCTGTCCTGTATTCACTTTGTATACCAGGCTAGCCTCAAAATCAGAGTGATCTGCCCAGCCTCTGCCTCCTGAATGCTGGGATTAAATGTGTGGGCCACCAAACCTGGCCAGTAGCTTGGTTTTTAAGAAACAGTAAACTCATCCTGTGTCTTCAGTCAAGAAATGGCAGTTAAAAAGCTGGGATGCCTGTGGCAGTGAATGTGAGCCCCACAGTACACATACAGGGGTCAGATGTGCCAAGCAGGTGTTGGGTCCTTGACTGCTGTTCATCAGGGGCTTTGCCCCATGTCTCTACAGAAGGTTTTGTGATGATTTGTTTTATAGTGTCAACCAGAATTAAATACCAAACATGGTAAGTAGTGTAGGGTGTTTTTTCCAACTGTTAGTTTTTTTTTTATTTAAACAAAGCTCATACATGATCTGAATAAAACTATTCAGTGTTCGAGTATGCCCACTGGAATGTACACATTCCATGAAGTAGTGTTTTGTTTTTTGTTTTTTTTAACAGGGTGTCTTAAGTGGGTGTGGTGGTGCACATTTTTAGTCCCAGCATTTGAGAGGCAGAGGTAGGAAGATCTCTGTGAGTTCAAAAAAACAAACAAACAAAAATCCCAGGATATTAGTTATAATGCTGTGAAATGATACTATGACCAAGTCAGTTGTTATAAAAGAAAGCATTTAATTGGTAGCTTCCTTACAATTCTAGAAGTTTAGTCTGTAACCATCATGTTGGGAAGCAGACAGGCATGGTCCTGGAGCAGTAACTGAGAGCTTTACAGCCTGATCTGCAGACAACAGGCAGAGAGAAAGTGCCTGTGGACTTTTGAAACTTCAAAGCCCACTGTCTCTTCCTGTAAGGCCTCTCACCTCCTCCTATAAGGCCACACCTCCTAATCCTTCCCAAACAACTCTACTAACTTGGGACTAAGTATTAAAATATATGAGCCTATGAGTCTCATCCAGACCACCACACAGATGTCACTGTGTAGATCAGGCTGGCTCTTAACTCCTAAATCCTCCTGCCAGTTCTGGGATCAAAAATGTGGCTGATGTGTTGGGGAGAAGTAGGCTTTTGTTTTATTTTGTTTTGTTTTTTTGTTTTTTGTTTTTATATATATGATACATGTTAGTGTTTTTTCAATGGAATTGCCTTTTGTGAATGTTGTGTGTGAACTTTTTTTTTTTTTTTTTTTTTTTTTTTTTTTTTTTTTTTTTTTTTT